CTGCCTCTGTGTAGAGAGGAACCCAGTTGAGGCTATGCCGAAGGACAGAAGTCTCGTCTAGGGTGGTAGACAGCTACCCGACCCAGTTTTTTACGGTGTCTACAGGGATTTTTTGATCGGACCTACGGGCTCGGATACCCCACAATAAACTTGGTCTTTTGCCGCATCCGACCGCATGGGGCGGTAAGTGAATATCACAATATACGGATTACTATTCAGATCACTATTCAGTGGTTACTATTCGAGCAAGAATTATCGAGCAAGTACTATTAGTGTGAGTGACATTCGAAGGCGTCTGACACCAGTATTGTTCAACGGCGTTAATTTAGTTGTATCTACGATTACAAAGTCTCTACTACAGCGAGTATTACGAAAGTGACAACGATTATTCGTTGGCATTACAAAAGTGGCAACTAGTGTTCATTGATATCACAAAATGAGTCAATCAGCAAATGGTCATGACAGTGAAAATGGCGATTTTGTCTCATCCTCCTTACTCTCCTTATCATGCTCTACCTATCATCTGTTCAGATCATTCCAACATTTCAAGCGAGAAAACAGTTTATTATTTATGAAGAGAATAAAACTAATATTGGGTATTTCTTTTCATAGAAACCTGAAGTGGTTTACGCCCGTGAGATCAAAGGGCTGCCAAACAAATAGGATTATATTATCGATAATTAAGAGAAATATCCTTGTGATTAAATATAGCCATTAAGACCAAAGACATACTTACTTCTTTTACAACTTCAAAAGCGATAATTTCGACAGCCTAATAATAAAGGTGTCATATGCAGAAAGATATCAACGTACTTGTGTTTTTAGAACAAAAAATAGTGCTATCATTGAATGACTACTGTTGCTTAGCTTTCGTAAACTAATCCCAGGCTAAAAAAATGAAGCTAGATTTGAGCCAATCACTGCCACTAAAATTATTTCTTTTCAATTATGATAAAATTAAGGAATATTAAAATAAAAGAAATACGAGTCGTAAATTATGAATAAAAATAATACTACATCTAAGAAATCCGAATATATTTAATGCCTCTTAGTCCATAAGACATTTCACATCGAGATCATGACTCTCCACAACGTTCTATCTCTTGTTCTTCTAAATAAATTTTGCCACTTTACTACAAGAAATTAACAAGCTGGTTTTCCCGATTCTCTTCAGTTCAATATATCTTGGGAGTTTTTAATTTGCCAATCCTTCTCTGATGTAGTACCAATAAAAAGCAAATTAGATAAGATGAATGAAATACAAGTTTGAAATTTAATATTATTTGAGGCAAATATTATAACGTCAAATATTACCAGGAAAGTAAAAAAGTTACAATTATGTGAAACAATATGGTGCAAATGTGTTATATAGGAATAAAGTATAGCTGCCGACACTCGAATTTGAACATAGATCACCAGTGAGCAAACACAGGCGATCCCATTATTGAATTAAGTAGACCACGAGGACCATAGAGAAAACGCATATATGCGATATGGCGCGTGTCTAATTTATCATCATTTCTAGTCTGTCCTCTATTATCATTCGGATCGCAATTTTTAGTCTATCCTCTGTACTATACGGACCGTTATTCTCTACTCTATTCTTTATGTTTTTCCTTTATTCGGATCACTATACGGATTACCGTTCGAGTGAGTATTATCGAGTAAGTACTATTAGAACGAGATTATTCGAAGGTCTCTGACACCAGCATTGTTCAACTGTGTTACTGTTATGGTCCGGTTCCTTGTACCACGGTGATAGTCCAAGGTAGAATCAATAAAGAAAAACTCGAACACAGGTATGGAATAACACAGATATATTACAAACAGGAATATATACAGAGAAGTAGAAAATGTTAGTACGAACAATCAGGTTTAGTAGAGAGAACAATGTAGTCTCTACCAGTATCACATGACAGGTTTGTTCAGTTTTCTTCATGTTTGTAGGTTTATGATAGTTAAGTCTGAGCCAGAATCCAGCTGTAACCTAACTTTTTTTCTGTTTTGCATTTCAACTTGTATATATTTTCTTATATTAGTCTCATCTGCTTGGTCAATCCTCGTAATTTTATTCTGCTTTTTTTCTTTTTATACGAAAAATGAGAACTTTTGTAATTTTTTTTTACATGATAGACAAGTTTTAAAACGATATGTACAGTCTTTTAACCCAATGCCAAGAACCACAACGATATCATAGACTGGGTGATAGTTTTTTTATGTTGATTATAATTAGAAAATTTTGTTTTACCTGTTCTTGAGGCGGGAAAATCGGTTCGGTTTGTTTGTGAGGAGGGAAAATTTGTTTGCCTTCGTACTTTGCGTACGTGTGCTATGCCAGCTTGTTCTATGTCTTTTGAGTCTTTCTTCACACTGATGCATCTCTGGCCGTCTTCGGCTAGTTTTTGAAGTGTCAGATCTTGTTCACTCTCCAATTTAGTAAGTATTCTGCGTCTCATTTACGCGTCTTTGGTTGAAACCCGGCCTTGGAGATAAATTAAGCATTTGAAATTGTCCGCGCAGAGTTCCGATAATTTGAAATCGTCACAATATTTGTTAACAATGGATGTGAAAGTTATGTAATCTTCGGCCTCCTTTTTTGTAAGGTTCAAGAATTTCCATCTGTTATGGAATAGTGAAGTATTATGGTTGAAAAGTTCGTTAGCAATTTCTGTGGATTCTTTGAGCATTAACTCGCTTGATTTTTTAGTAAGGATATAATCTACGAATTTGGTATATTCGCCTGTGCCTAATTTTCTTAGTAATAGGCGTACTTTACGTGCGTCTGACGTGTCCTTGCAGTTAAAATCATATAGATCTTCCTACCTTCGGAAGTAATTTGCAAAAGTTTTATCTTCGTCGAGTGCGTACTTGAAATCTTCGATATTACTCCAAATAGCGTCTAGTGAGAGAACTGTTTCGTTCCCAGATTTTTGCTCCTTATTTGTCATTGCACGTAACAATAATTCTTGCAGTTCCAGATGTTTCTGTTCGTACCCTTGTTGCTGTTCAAATTGGATTTTGATAAGTTCCGTAATGGTTGACTTAAAATCTTCCATGTTAACGTATTTTATTTTTTGTGTGTGTGTAACTTGATATTCTGTAGCCTGTACGCAACAAAACGAAACTTTCCTTTGTTGTCAGTGAAAATTTGATATAAAAAAAAGAATATTTTTCTTTTTTTAGAATTAGTTTCGTATTACCCTTTTAGGGTTTCTTCGTCGCCACTTGTTATGCGCGACGGATAGCAAAAAAAAAAAAAAAAAAAAAGGCATGTCCTCAGCGTCGAGAGTTGGTTTCTTCGTCGCCACTTGTTATGGTCCGATTTCTTGTACCACGGTGATAGTCCAAGGTAGAACCAATAAAGAAGAACTCCAACACAGGTATGGAATAACACAGATATATTACAAACAGGAATATATACAGAGAAGTAGAAGTGTTAGTATGAACAATCAGGTTTAGTAGAGAGAACAATGTAGTCTCGATCAGTATCACTATTCCAATGTCTTGTACTAATTGTCTGAACACGACTCTGTTTCGGACTGCCTCTGACTCGACTCTTGACTCGACTTGAACTACTGACTGACAATAATAGTCACCCCCACGAGGGGTGCCATGTGGCAGTTTCCTTTTTAACGTTTTTTTCCTGAGCCATTAGGGATCGGCCAAAAAATAGCTCATTTGAACCCGTATAAACGGGTTCAGGGTAACTTATTTTACCCTTTAGGAGAGTCCGCCCTTCGGCGTATAGAGTTCAAACCGAGCAGTCGGTTCAAAATCTTGAACGACTGACTGACAATATTCAGTCACCCCCCACGAAAAAAGGCCTTTTAACGTGGGCATTGAACCATTAGGCCCGGCCTTAAATAGCCCATTTGAACCCGTATAAACGGGTCCTGGGCCGGTCTTACTACCTGAAGGAGGCTTGACATCGGCGTAGCCTCCTAAATTTAAAAAATTCGCCCGTAGGAAGAGAGTTGAACCGTGTCAGTTCAGAGTTGAACGACTGATTGACTCCGCCTATCCTGAGGCGCAGTATTTATTAAGTATCGAATAGTCCATTATTATTATTATTATGGGTAAGATTCCATAACAGTTACTACAGTTGCATCTGCGATTACAAAGTCTCTACTAAAACGAGCATTACGAAAGTGACAACGAGTATTCGTTGATATCACAAAAGTGGCAACGAGTGTTCGTTGATATCACAAAAACGGAATGGATTACAACTGACCATATAAAAGGTTGGCCCTTAAATAGAGTTCTGTACAGAAAATAAGACTAGAGTTTTCTAATGTCAGATTTTCTATGAGTTAAATGATTAATTGGTTGATTCAAACACAACTTTTCAAGATAGACAGAACTCCACCTACCGGAAAGAATAAAAGTAGGTGAATGTATTTTACCTATACTAATTTGACTCTGTGTTTGATAGAGCCATTTTAAAATATAACACAAAATGTTTGTACATTAATTGATGTGAAATCATCTATATGACTCAGAGAAGTAGAAAATACAATTCAGATAAACTCCTAACATCAATCCAACTGATAATTTTACCAAGAAATATATTTTTCTGAAGTAAAATGAGGCGCGAAATTACAGCTAAGTATTTAGAAAAATTAAGAAAACAAGGCATAATGAAATCAGTTCAATCCATGCAAACTTAGGAGGCCTGCAGATACCAATAAAAAAAAAGGTATGTCAAAATGTTATCGACAATTAATTAAGGCAAATATCCAACCTCTCATGATAATTTCCAATTAAAATAGAGATTGACGAACTTCTTAATTTTCCCGGTGATAGCCAACGGCCAAAGTCAAAGCTAATCAGAACAGATGAGCGAATAAATCCATTGTTGAAGCCTTTTCTGTGCTCCTGGAAGCTAGTAGTATAATGTTTAAAAAATACGGTTTTGTATTGTGTAAAATATAATGCAAGTCTTTTTTCATTGTTCTAATATACACATTGTACGTTCTTTCTTCATAAATCCAAATATTAATTTATCTTATAATATTCAACACAATGGATAGATAGATAGATACGAACAGGTTAAGATAGATAGATAGATAGATAGATAGATAGATAGATAGATAGATAGATAGATATGCTGAAGTCCTCTTCGATATAGACAGTGATATGTGAAAAGAATGAGATAGATAGATAGATAGATAGATAGATAGATAGATAGATAGATATGAACAGGATAAGATAGATAAGAAAATATCTGAGATAGATAGCTAGATATCTAGATAGTTAGATAGATAGATATGCTGGAATTCTCTTCGATATAGACAGTGATATATGAAAATAAAAAGAAATAGATAGATAATGAATAGAATGAGATAGGTAGATAGATAGATAGATAGATAGATAGATAGATAGATAGATATGCTGAATGCCTCTTCGATAATAGACAGTGATATATGAGAAAAATGAGATAGATAGATAGATAGATAGATAGATAGATAGATAGATAGATAGATATGCTGAATGCCTCTTCGATAATAGACAGTGATATATGAAAAAATGAGATAGATCGTTAGATAGATAGATAGATAGATAGATAGATTTCCTTTTCGATGTCAAATCACGGGCAAAGACATAAATCGAAGAATATTATCGTGTCATATGATCCGTTCAGTAGTAGTGTCATGTCGAGCTGGTTAAATTCTGAATGAAATTAGTTATGCAAAGCCGCTGGATATATATATATATATATATATATATATATATATATATATATTAATGAGATTCACCCTGTAACAAGACCTAAGTGTTATTTGAGATAGAGCGTTACAGCCTAAAAGGCACCCTCTATATGAATATAGGGGGGATATAACGGTTGTCCCATATTTGAACAGGTTGGAAAGCAACTTCTTGGGTGCCTGTTTCACAAAGCAGCAGTCCGTGGGAAGACGCCGCACGAGTGGAACTTACATATCACGAACAGAATACGAATAGAATGATTCTCTAATATATGAGTGGCCTGGTGGTTCTTAACCGGGAAGTTTAGAACGGGTGGAATCTTTCCCATGTATATAGCGATAAAGCAGTGAGAGGCTTGCGACGTTTCATCTGTGAAAAAAAGGGTTGCAGCATGGAAAATAATTTGTCAACCACAAGGACACGGAGACGATTTTGAACTCTAACGAGAGTGGAAAGAGAAGACTGGGCACGTCTTAATTGATGGTATCCCCAGTTCCACTTTCACTCGGGGTGATATATCAGTTAAGGTCCCAGCTATGGGCTAATAACCCCCAAACAAAACAAAACTATGAAAGTATAAAAAGTACCTTTTTGTAGTGAAATACCACAATATATTTTATATTATAAAAAAAAAACCAAAATACATATTTATAGTAAAATGGTCAACACTACCTATTGATAGTAGAATGACTAACAGTAAATTATATAGCAAAAGGACCAACAGTACAATTTATCTGTAGTTGAAGCCATAAGATTGAGTTCAAAATATTTATAGTAAAATGGCCAACAGTATCTATTTATGATAGAATGACTAACAGTAAATTATATAGCAAAAGGACCAACAGTACAATTTATCTGTAGTTGAAGCCATAAGATTGAGTTCAAAATATTTATATTAAAATGGCCAACAGTATCTATTTATGATAGAATGACTAAGAGTAAATTTTATAGCAAAATGACCAACAGTACAATTTATCTGTAGTTGAAGCCATAAGATTGAGTTCAAAATATTTATAGTAAAATGGCCAACAGTATCTATTTATAATAGAATGACTAAGAGTAAATTTTATAGCAAAATGACCAACAGTACAATTTATCTGTAGTTGAAGCCATGAGATTGAGTTCAAAATATTTATAGTAAAATGTCCAACAGTATCTATTTATGATAGAATGACTAAGAGTAAATTTTATAGCAAAATGACCAACAGTACAATTTATCTGTAGTTGAAGCCATAAGATTGAGTTCAAAATATTTATAGTAAAATGGCGAACAATACCTATTTATCTCAAAATTAGGAAATTACTTCAAAGCTCACACGAAAATTACATTTAGATATTAAATGACGTATTGCATTTATTTTGTTCATTGACTCTTTTTCTACACGTTTTTCATTGAGCCATTCCTCTTTTAGCCTGTGTCGTTCTTAATTTCTTCGTTTGATGTTCGATTCGTTTTTCTATTCTTTACATTTTATTTTTGCTTTTATTACATTTTCTATTCTCTCCCTTATATTTTCAGTGATGTTCACCATGTACAAGGCCTGGCAGCCACTCAATGTAGAGAGTTACAGAATAAGAGGTATAGTTTATTCGGATATGCGGAAAGATATCAGTTAAACTTAAACTTGAACAAATTAACATTGCAGTCATCGAGGAAGCATTCTCTTGGGAGTGTAGAGTTTCATAGAAAGAAGCCGTTTGTTTGAAACTTATATATCAGCAATGGAACACATAGGGAATGAAAGGGTGATTCTCTATAATGTGCATGGCATGGCAAGTCTTAGGCGTAAAGGTTAGAACTGGTGGAATTAAGGAATGTGGTTCGTCTTGACACGTTGCATGGAAATAGTGATAGAGCAATGAGAGACTAACGACATTTTGTCTGCAAGAAAAATGGTTGTAGTTTGGAAAAGGATCCGTCACCCACAACGACGCTGAGAAGTTTTTACATTCCATCGGGACTGGAAATTGAAGATTGAGCATCCCTTGCCCATGGATGTCAGCAGTACTCTATTTTAGCGTGATCTGGTTCTTTTCAAGGTAGAGGATAGCAATAGGAGTCAGGTACTTACTGCTGCGGTAAAGGAAACCGATCATTTTACCAGCATATGTAGTCCGTCGTGTTTCAATACCATCGGGAAAGAAATTAATAAATGTCTATTTTACAATATCAATGGTCAAAAATGAATAAGAGGTTTACTGGCAGAACAGAAATATTATATGCACTTGTCTTAACCCGTGAAAATTTCCTGGTTTTTCTATTTTGATATTTTGATAAATCTTAATTCTAAAGCTAATGACTGAGTAAGCTCATGGTGAGTTCTACGACAATAAAATATCCGTAGAATTGCCCTTATCACATCGTCAAATATTTGGGTTTAATAACTTTAACAAAATATTGCAATAAGAATCATAAATATGAATGGTAATCGTTATTTTAAGAAGTTGGTACAAATGAAAAGATTGACAAATTTTCCATTTCACTGAAGCAATCGTTAAACACTTCTGTCTTCCTTTCTTTCATTTTCTCACTGAAACCAAGTAGTATCTTTTCCACCTCTTTTCACGTGATCAAAACGGAATAGTCCATTATTTATGAGGGATTGGCAGGAAACGGTCAACACTTCTTTCTTCCTTTCTTTCTTTCATTTTCTCGCTGAAACCAAGTAGAGTGTTTTCCCCTCTTTACACGTGATCAAAACGGAATAGTCCATTATTTATTAGGAATTGACAGGAAACGTTAAACGCTTCTATATTACCTTTGTGAAGACTGGGTAGCTCCTGCCCAAATATGGCAAAAGTACTCCATTTTAGACCTGATCTGACTCTTACAAAGGTAGAGAATAGCACGTAGATTCAGCTAATTCCTGGAGCAGTAAATGGAACCGACTATTTTACAAGCGTATGTTGTTCATCGTGTTTCAATTCCATCAATGAAAGAAGTTAAGTGATGTCTATTTTATAATATCTTCACTATTTTCAGCTTCTTTTTGCAATGACACCGGTCATGTACAGTAAAAGTTAATAGGCATTAGTAGGATGAAATAAAAATTAAAGTAATATAAATTTCATATTTTCCCAATAAACTTCCGAGAATGTAATACAATGAAAAATAGAAAAAAAGAAATATATATTTTGGGGTGTAGCATTTTTAAGCCAAATTTATTTTTCAAAGACCACCCTTACAGTTCCCTGTAAAAGTAGTGGGACGAAAAAGCCAATTCCTTTGTTTCTTTTGTTCACTGAAGACATGGATTTACGACCAAAAGATGAATAGAAATTCACAATTTCAGCTTTTATTTTCTGGTATTTACATTTAGATGTGTTAAACAGCTTAGGACATGCCACCTTTTGTAGCAGAACATCCCATTTTTACATTAACAAAAGTAAAGGAACAAATAGTCTTAAAGGAAATAATATTTAATATTTGGTTGCATAACCCTTGCTTGCAACAAGTGGATCAAGCCTGCAACCAATTGACATTACCAAACTGTTTTATTTTTCATTTGTGATGCTATTCCAGACATTTAACGCAGACAATTTCAGTTCTTGTTTGTTTTGAGTGCGTGTGTGTGGGGGGAGTTCTTCCACTAGTCTCTTCTTCAGGATATGAAATGCATGCTCCCTTGGGTTAAGGTCCGATGATTGACTTGGTCTTATTAAATTGTACACTATTTTTCCCCCCTGATGAAGTTTTGTTGTGATTATCTTTTGGGTCATTGTCTTGCTGCATGCTAAACTTCCTCCCGATTTGTTCAGATTAATTTTTTTGTAAATTGGACGATGTATATTGCTGAATTTATTCTGCTGCTAGCATCATGAGTAGCATCATTAATAAATATGAAAGAGTCTGTTCCAAAGCAGCCAAGCAAGCCCATGCCAATAACCTGCCTCCACCGGGCTTCAGAGATAACCTTGTATGCTTTGGATCATAAACAGGTCTTTTCTTCCTCCATAATTTAGCATTTCATTCACTTTGGTTTGTAATTAATCTTGACCTCATGAATTCATAAGACTTTCGTTCAGAAGTTTTGTCGCTCATATATTCAAGTTTAGCTTTCCCGTTCTTACTGCTGATGAGTGGTTTGCATCTTGTGATACGGCCTCTATATTGCTGCTCTCAAAGTCTTCTTCAAACAGTGTATTGTGAAACCATAACCCCTGCAGAGTGACGATTGTTGTCAATGTTGCTAATTGTTGTTTTGGTGTTTTTTTCCTCAAAGCTATCATAATGTTTCTGCCATCAGCTGCTGTTGTTTTCTTCTTCCGACCTCTTCTATGTCTGTTGTTCAGTACACCAATAGTTTATTTCCTTTTCATGACATTCCAAATTGTTGAGTTGGCTATGATCAATGTTTGTCCAATGTTTCAGATTGATTTTTCTTCTTTTCATAGCTTCAAAATGACATACTTTCAACCGATGCATAGGTCTCTCGTCTTCATGTTTACATCCTCTTTAGCAAGAAATGTAATTCTTACAAGTGAAATCCAGGGCTAAATCCAAGAGTAGTCATTCGGGACTATATAATGTTTTAACAATCAATCGAAAAGGCAACATTTGGACAACAAGAATGTTCTGGTATAACAATCTAACGATTTGAAAACGCCAGCACGTTCAAGCCTTCAAGCATAGCCATCCACGGCTCCCAAGTGTTCCGTCTACCCAATTTCACTCACAAGGCTTGGGTCAACCCGTGGAACGGTTTTCAGACACTTTCTAAAGGTGTCGTAAGCTGGGATCGAGCCCTCCAGAAACAGAAAAATTGGATGATAACATTTTTCGTTAACTATAGTTCTTTAAATGAAATAACTGGGAGTAATGCATAGCAACTACTGGTTTTTGATTATGTATTAGCAACTTTAGGT